TGTGGTGAAATGTAAATGATAGATGTTTATTGTGTGGAAAAAACTTGTACCAGGAAATTGTTTTCACAACTCTCATAAAGCAATCATATATTATCTGACTTTGGAAACTTAACCTTTAATTTTTTTCCTTATTACACACAATTTTGTCTGATTTGTACCCATTTTTAATAATGTATTTTTTAAGACATATAGCAGAAATGAAAAAATAAAAATAGGAGTTAAAATTGCGTACCACAAAACACAAATAAAAAGATCTTATGAAACATAGTAACACTATTTGATTGTTTTGGTATGGGAATCTTGATAAAAATAAAAATAGAAAGAAACGTATAAAAACAATAAATATAAAAAAGCAAGAGTAAAATTTTTAAATTATTAAGAAAGTGAAACTAAGAAGAATTAAATCCTCTAAAGAAACATCTACAAGTAAATTGTTTAATTGATATAATAGTTGAAAACTAGAAACACGGCTTACTTTATTTCACTAATAATGTCCAGTGGCAGACTGGCTAGGGAGTCAGCTTCCTCCAATAACAAGTGGGCCCACTATATCAAATAAAAATGCAATAAAGAAACAAACACAGAAAAATGTTTTAGTATTAAAAAGGGATAAGAAATTTATAAAGTCATCTGCACACTATCAGTTACTCAAGTCCAATGTGAGAGGACATTTTCAAAGCTAAAGATCATAGAGACATGGTTAAGAAATTTGCTGCCTGAGGAGAATTTGGAATCATAAATGTTGCTATCGACTAAAAAGGAATTGTTATTGGATGCAGAAGCAATTATTGGTCGATTTGAACAATCAACTAGTGAACACAAACAATTGCTCTTAATATAGTGGATGACATGGAATGATCTAGTACGCTTTTGAACTATCTACTAATATGTAAATTATGCAGTAAACTACTCAAAAATATCAACCAATTACTTAAATTTTTTTTTAAAATAAAGAAAAAATTCAATTATAAAATTCTGCATTTATATTTGGTATCTACTGCCAGTAATATCTACAATACATGTACACTGTAATTACCAAGAAATACACATAATTTTCCATAAAAAGTTTAATTGTATCCTTTTGTTCATATGTAGTTTTTGAAAATTTTATTCTTTATGAAAATTAAATGATAGCACTGTAGTTGTGGGCGTGTCTCTTTGTCTCCTGGCAACCAATATTTTTTTGACCCAGTCTGCCACTGATTGTGTCACATGGAACCAAGGGAATTAATTACTTTGTATATAATTGAAAAAGGAAATTGTAGTAGTTATGAAGTTACATTTGATTTTTAATATATGCAGTAATAAACAAAATTTTGAAATCAAATATTTTATGCAATATAAAAATGTTTATGTTTGGTTTAAATTTATTTCGAGATAAGTGAATTATGTATGAAAAAGAGCATTTCTTCAATTAATGGAAAGAAACAAATAACTTCGTAGGTTTTTAGCAAAAGTGAAATATGAAATAACGGTTGCTTCTGTGAGTTAGTGGTCAGGGAGGATGGCTGAAGCCCTTGGGGAGACGGTTTAGTGTAAAAGTCATCTTGATATTGAGCAAAATAGAGTCAAAAGAAAAAAGTCTTGTTCTGTAAACAAAAATAAGTAAAGAATGAAATGTCAGAGGTTATCAAAATATCAATTTGGGGTTCAATCACTTTTAGGTAAAAACAATATATTTCTAATTTCATATGTTTTTTATAAAGCAAAATCAATTCAACATGTATGTAAATATATTGTTCAGATTTCAAAACAGGAGGGCAATTTAAAATAAAAAAAATTACAATTGATTAATCAATATTTAATTACCAAACAAGATGGGTGTGTTAGACCAGGGTTTTCCAAACTGTGGGTCCTGATCTTCAGTGGGTCACAAGATAAATGAAATTGGTCATGACCAAAAAGAAAGAAAAAAAATATGCAAGTGAGAACAAAGTGCAGAATATAAACAACTCTAAATGCTGCACAGCACTCATAAATCATTGCTAGTTTTTCACTGAGATAAGCTTGTGTTATATTTTATTATTTTAAAATATAATTTATATATATATATATATATATATATATATATAGTCTGTTCTCACTGAGTTTAGAATCTTGTTAAACTCATTGTGTACTGAGTGACACCAGTTCTCTCTCACAAAGAGACCTTGCAACAAAACTTATCTACAAAGGTGTGCAGTGTATTTGTCTTTGTGGCCGGTGAAAAGCATTAAGATTGTTGAAAAATTCAGTTGCATCTGAAGTTAGGTCTAAAAGTGAAATTCCTGACTCAATGTCAAAGTCAAGTACTCGCACATTCTTTTTGTGGTAGTAAAATGAAGTGTTGTGTTCATTTGAAGTCTCAGAATTTTGGTGAGTTGGCTGTTTCTGCAAAGTTTAAGAATGGGCTAGTTTTTTTAAAAGTAATAATTTTATATTCATGCAAGTAGATACAAGTAATTCCAATATATGTGGATCATAAGAAATTTACATATAAATTATTGATGCCAAATAAATGACCCTAGTGAATAGGGTTTGTCTTCGATTTATTACACGTAGGTAAGATGGATCATAATTCAAAATGTGATTCTTACTGTGGGTTGCAGTAAAAAAAAAAAAAAAAAAAAAAAAGGTTGAAAAATGCTGTCTTAGACTATTCTGATAAATCAAGGTCTTATGACTGAGTGTCTGCTAAAATCCAAAAAGGTAGATTTTCAGAATTAAAAATTCTCTTGAGTTCACTTTGGTTTGTAATATTCTCTTTATAAAATATTATATTTTCTGCCTGAAATTAAAATTTTACATCATCTTAAAATTAAACAGACTCAAGTTTTATGTTGTTTTCATTTTCTCTCATGAATTTTATACAAATCCCTAAAATCTTATGATGATGCAGATAAACATCAAAATCTCGTACACCTGTTGTTTGTGAATTATCAATCACATACAAGTTTTTGTTTTTTTTTAATTGCCATCATTTTTACATTTGAATATATCAATAGTAAATTATGTATATTTAAGCTTTTAACATTTTGAAACCTGTTTACAGTATGAACTGTTTTTTGTAAATTTTGACAAATTTAGAAACTGTCCAAACATTCCTTCCACTTTTTATCATTTCTTCAAATGAGACAACCAGGAAAAAAGGTTAAAAGTCATCATATTGCAAAGAAAAAAAAGTTAATCAAGGAAGAATTGAGATTGATCTAATTGAGAATTAATGAAAATGGCCACTATTTGAAAAAAAATATATATAATTTGATTAATTTTAATTAAAACTGTGGTGATAATTACAAATATATGACAATATGAGTAAAATTCTCAGGTAAAGAATCAGATTATCCTTTAAATAAAGCCTTGTTGCTAGTACCATGTCAAATAATTCAAATTATCAGCTACAAATCAATTTAAATATTTTTGAGAGATTTACAGCAATCATTTTTAAAAACTGCTGCCACCTGCCAGCAACTACGTGACAACCAATGCAAAAAAGTAAAAATAAAATAAAAAAAAGTAAAAAAAAAATACCTAACTGTCCAGCTCTCTGTTAAGAGGATGAATGATTTTTCATTCAGTGATTAGAATTTTCATATTTAATATGAAGAGCCAAAAAATGATATAAAAATTCAACAATTTTCAGCATTTCCTTAAAATTCATAGTCAATAAAACTTTCTTGCATGGTTTTTGTATCAAGTCCCACTGTGTTTTCGATGAGAAAAAAAACAAAGATGGCATCCCACATGAGTGAAAGTGAAAAGAAAGTGAGAGAGAAAAAAAAGACAGATTTGTGAGTTCTACAGTCAACAGCAGCAAAATTATATGAACAGTAAACACCATTTATATAATAGAGATTATACAATTCAGCAGTTTGCTTTAATAATTTAAGATGGTTTTTCATGTGTTAAATTTTCCATTGTTACTTTAAATAAAATTCATGATAATAAGAATGACATATGGTTAATTCTTTCATTATGAATACTGGACTTTTTAAGAATGGGTTTGTTTTAAAATGAAAATTTTGAATAATTTTGATAGAATCAAAACAAAAACAAAATATTAAAATTTGCTTATTATCACAAATCTTACTAAGTGTGACTTCTTGTAGATTTTTCTACTACCAATAAGATAAAGATTTTATTTATTCTGCATTCTGAAGATAATTTAGTCATTTTTATTTGTGTATTGGATGAGCAGAATTATTCAGAATCAATTTAAAATGTTTTTTTTTCTCTTATTATGAGATCGAATGCTATTAGACAATTCATATGACTATTGTTTAAACTTGGCCTAGTCATCATATATAAGATTGCCAACTTCCTAAAATGAAAATACAGACCTGAAGTGGGAGTTTCCAACCATGGGGTCTGTGGATCCACAACGCTGAATTAAATCAATTTGGTATTTTTGAGTGATAGGAATTCATATGTAACAAATTATCATTCAAGAATTTTATACAGACAGTGCAAAATAACTGTTTAGAACTTTAGAGTGAAACAGAACTGTGTTCATGTTTATTAAGTACATCTTTTAAAAAATGCAAAATCTACATAACATTTTTAAAAAGAATCGTCAAATCTCAAAAATGCAGGACAAAACCATGTCCTGCATCAGTTATTATGGGACAATCCCATATTTTGTGGGATGGTTGGCAACCTTACACTCAAAAAGGGAAAATACTTGCAAAATTTCAGTCAATTGCTGATCATTTTTGATTAGTGGGAACTACTATAAATTATTATTCTTTAAAAATATTGCATTTGACAAAATGTTTGTTTATATCATATAAATTGTATTTTTAAAAGTCAAAACATTTTTTTTTAAAGTCAGTATAATTTTAAGATTTTTTCATACCAAAAAGACATTGATCATTTTTCTCATGTAACATGAAATAAAAGATGTATATAATCTGAAAATATCAAATATGGCTGCCATGTAAATATAATAAAATGTAGAATAATAAAAAACTAAAATGAATTATGTCTTTTTGATTTGCTCTGTTGCTGTAGAGAAACACAGTTTAATTTTCTGACAGAGGTTTGGGTTCAATCCTATGTGTCTTCATGTAAGATAGGAATTGTTCTGGGATTTCTGCAAGAACTTCTTTAGCCAAGTATGCCTGACTGACTTGCATGTTGTTACTGTACTGGCCACCAATGAACTCCCGAAATGGAACAAACTGAAAGCAAGAAAAATGATGAAATCGAAATAAAACAAGATAAGAGAATAGTCCAAATTTTCAACAAAAAAAAGGTCATAAAAGTATAAATTTATGACTATAGTAAAGTATTTTCGAGACCAGCCAAGTATGGGGGACAGGAGAGAGAATCAAAAACTTTGTATGCTTTATTGAACCATTATGAAATCAAATGCATCCAATATTATCTTGATAAAAACTGACTTTTTAAAATTTTATTCGAAAAAAAAATGATGGAAAAATGTAAAAGAGAAAAAAGAACATTCAAAAGTTCATCTTAACAGATCACAACAGCTATTAGGGAGATATGATTAAATATACTTTAATGTTTAAAAAAGATTTATTCAGTATTATTATTGTTTAGGTAATAAGCATTATAACAGCACAAATAGCTAATTTGTGGAAAAAGGAATTTTCAAAAATATACACTTTTTTTACTAATTTTTTTTTAATTAATAACTATTTGTGCTCACTTGTTGACATTAATAGCTATCTGTTGATGTGTTTAAATTTTGGAATAATGCAATAATAAAAATTTAAATTTCATCTCTCTGATAGAGGTCATGATCTGTAAGTAAAATAATTATGTAATACATATCATTAATATTGTTAGGTATATTCAGTTGATTTTTTTTATATTCATATGGAGGTGCTGAAAATGAGATTCCACTGAAATTTCTGATGTTTGGTCAGATTTTGAGAAGTGGGTTGGCGTGAGAATTTTTCAGCAACCACTTTTTATCTTTTTTTTGTTTTGAGCATTATTTTCACTTGCAATCATAATTTAATAATTTATAATCAAACATTTCACATACTAACCAAATATTTGTCCTACACACCAAGAAAAATTAAGTTGTCATAGATGTTTCAACAACATATTTTTTAAAATTCATTTTGTTATTATGTTAAGTCACCTTAAATTTCCTACTATGGACATGGCTACCAACAGCTGACCATAAAAAGAAAACATTTGAATAATTTTCTTATGTTTATATTAATAATTCAACAAACTGACTATTTTTTCATTTATTTAAATATTATTTAATAATTTTAAGAAAATCTAATTAAAATGATTATTTTGACTTAGATAATTGAATAAAATGTTTTGTTTCTGTTAGACAAATTTGCAGAAATGTGAAATAACATAACAACAATGCTTATTATAAACCTTGTAATTTTTCTAACTTACAACTAAATTTTGTTAAGGCAAATATGAGTTTGTTCTTTAGAAACATGAATAACCTTTGAAAGAACCACTGCTTATATATGACAATATATTAAAAATAAATAACAGATGAAATATTTATTAAATATATCAAATAGATGTATCTAGTGGTTAGTCTGGTACCCAAAACCCAACTATACAGGGTCATTTTTTTATTTTTTTTTAAACAATGCACCTTATATGATAGGAAATGTAGTATATTATAAAGAATCAAGTGAGATTTCTATGATCACAATTGTGTCAAAGCTTACATTTCTTATTTTATAAATATGATGAAAAATAAACTAATCAAAATATTAAGTTGCCATTTTAGCAGAAACAAATGTTTTACTCTTGTGTTTTTTTTTGATGAGCTATTAGTTAACATCTGTCCATACATGTGAATAAACCTTTGGAGAGAAAAAAAATAAAAATAAAATTCACATATATTTTTAATATTAATTATTTACTAAGCTTAGCCCTGGCCCAAACACAGGTAAATGCTATCCAGTGAGGACTGAACTCAGAACTAATGTTCCGAAAGATCTGATGGCTAACCATCACGTCGCAACACAACACCCACATTATATTATTTTTCTCGGAGTATCTATAATATAAGGGAGGAAACTCATTCTAGTATTACCAGTATGGGCTTCTGAAAAAAGAAAAAAAAAAAAATGCTATTTCCGAAAATTTGTTTCATAACCATTTTTTGGGTAATGGAGTCTCTTCTTTTTCCCCACTTTTTATTGCGCGCATTCACACACACACAAAAAAAAAAAAAAAAAAAAAAAAATCATTTTTTTTGATGCACCCACTCTCAATAACTGTTACACATGATATCATCTTAATATAGTCAATGGAATCTTGTCTAACACACAGACACCATATTGATTCTTGAAAATGACTGAGATGATCAAAAGTACTTGGACAACAACAACATAATCATGCACTTCAGAGAGTTTATCCACAATTTCGATCCCAATACATAACACCTTATTCAAAAATTGGAAAAATACAATAAAAAATTAAACGACGATGTCAGTTTTTTTAAATCAAAACTTTTTTGGATGAATAATTGCTGGCTGCCTAAATATGCCTTCGACAGGTAGATATACATGCACGCACTGATGGGCCAGAAGTCATGGGACAGCAATATATAATGGTAATGGCATTACAAAAACCCAAGCCTTGTTAAGATATTATCTACAATTTTAAAAAGAACCATTCTTACATCTTGCTTATCTCTAAAGCCATTCTTTATGAATGAAAAAAAAAAAAAAAGTAGCTTTCAATACTTTGGATATTCTATTGACAAATTGGTTGTTAATTCTCATAAGTTATAGAATCAAATAACTTATTACTTACTTGAACAATATCTCTCTGGGCTACTTGCTGTCCAGAACGGAGTAATCCATCATCGGAATCCAGGATATTCATGGCTTTTCAAAGATATGAAGAGAAAATAATATAAAAACTGAATGTATCAAATTTTTATAAATGTTTTTTTATTATCAGTTCTGACAATTTCTTCTTTTTTTGTATTACAAACTCAATATCATTTTTTACAAAATTTGTACAAAAGTCCAACTTTAATAATTTGCAAACATTGAAAAGAAAAAAATTTAAGTACATAGTAAAAAGACAAACATTACAAACATCAGAAAGAATAGGAAATTGTGGAGAGCCATGATTTCCCATGGTCTGAAGAGACAAAGCTAATAAAAAAATACTTCAAAGTAAAGCTACAATCTAGTAACAAAAAATGGTTTAAATCAAAAACATTTTGACAAAATACAAGAAAAAATCTGTTAAAAATTGTTTTTAAATTACTTACCCTCAAAATCTGCACTACCAACACCGACAATAATGATTGACATTGGTAAATATGATGCCTGTAAAAAAAAAAAAAAAAAAAGAAACATTTTTTAGCTAATTTATTTCACTCTTTTGATTGATAGTAATGAAATATTAATACAGAGAACAAATGCAACTACACTGACATGTTTTAAATAGCTTGGGTAAACATTTTAAGTTGTTTCCTTTAAAAGAAAATTTTTTAGATACAGAAAATACAAAATATCTTCATTTTTTTTATTGTTAAGACAAGAAGTATTTGAAATATTAAGATTAGTTTTTCTAAATACTTAGTCATATTTTTACCTCACCTTTTTGTTATTTTTTTTTTTTTTTTCACATTTTGGTTATTGGATCAGTCTACTGTTTTGGCCTTATTCAACTGATTTTGGTACAGATGCTTGTTTTTTTGTTCTACTAACAAAGTATATGGGTTATGCAACATTGTCATGGATTTTTTTTAAGACTGTTATTAATAATGACAAAAATTAATTCTTATCTTCCTCACAGAATTTTGAATGATGCTGTTGAAATTTGATAACATTTTTAAGGAAAAAGACAAAAAAAATATTTGGTTATGCAAAATTTTATTTTTAATAGAAGGTGCCAAACATGGAGTACCATTAATTTTAGGATTTGTCTGCAGAGAAATGTCATAGAAGAAACTAAAAATTAAAATAACCATTATATTTTAATATGGAGTTTGTGCATTTTAGCTCTTAACTAATAAGGAATCTATAACAATGCTGCCTCAGTCTAAAGGGGATTTGGAGAAAATGGTAAAAAAAAAAAAAAAAAAAAAAAAATCAAAAACAAATGGTTTTTGTAAAACTGTGCAATTTAGTTATTTTTAGCAAAATGATAATCAAACTTTGGAGGCAATTATTTCTAAAATTTGTCTCCATTTAAGGAGAATGAAATTGAGAAGCTGTAGTCTGAGGAAAAGAAAGATTGAAGTTTATCAAGTTATTTTTATTCAAATTGAAAGATTAGATTGATTTCAAAATTTTTATTGATATGTTTCCAATGGTTCAATTCTCTTCAGGTTCATTGATTTAACAGATGGATAAATTTAAGTGATTAAATATAAATTAAAAAAAAATGTCCAACATATGAATTGCATGGGTATGAAGCAATAAGGTAGTATTTGTTTGAAATACTAAGATTCATTCTTGTTAATTCTAACTCATTTTTTTTCCTCTCCTCCTCTTTCTTGTTTTGATCTCACCTCAGTTTGGAGCTATCTATTTTCGGGCCTTATTCAATTGAATTCCGTAAAGAGGCTTGTTGGTTTTGTTCTACTTATAAAGTCTGTAGGCTATGTAACATTGTCATAGAAGTTTTTGCTGATAAGACCATTTTAATGACAATAAACAAAGACCAAGGCTTAATTTTTGATACACTTGGAATATATTCATCTGAAGCAGTATTTAGCCATGGATAACTCTTTGTTGCTTATTTTTCTGAGTCTATTAATTGCTGAATGTATGGAGTAATGTTTGTTAACAAGTTTACCTTTTATCATAAACAAGACCAACAAAAACACTGAATCCAATAAAGTTCACACAAAGAAGGCCACAGAATGGGCTGGCCAAATCATTATAAAATAAAAAATATGGAGTCCAAGAAATTAATCAGTTATAATGAACACTGAAAAATTACAGATTCTAAGATTCTACCTTTATATATATATATATATATATATATATATATATATATATATATATTATGGACTGGCAATAGCCATGGGTCCAGTACAACTTGGATCTACAAACATTAGCTGGTAAATCTACCAAAAGAATTGTTTGATTCATTTCAATTGGTAGTTTAAACCATAATTTAATGGTTTATAAAGCAAAATGTGTAAAAACCTAAGTGATTTAAATCCAAATTGAACAATTCTAAGTTTGATAATTTTCAATGTTTATTATAGTATATGTGCTGGTAGCAACTTATAATTCTTCCTGCCAGTTCCTCTCCTAGTGTGACCATTACACATTTTTAACCTCATAAATAATGGACTATTCTATTTTGATCATGTAGAAAGATGGAAAAGCCATACTAGAGATGCTACTTGATTTCAATGAAAGAAAGAAGGGTAGACAGAAGTGTTTAAAGTCTGTTTCAATAAAAAAGTTGTCAATTTAAAATCTTTTCATTTTACCCTATTCAGAGTTCCCACAGATCTGTGTAAAAAAAATTCCAGGACTTTTCCAGGACTATGTTAAGAATTTTCAAGGACTGAAACTGACACGTGTACACACACACACACAGAGTAAATGGTCAATTTCAAAAACACAAAATTTGTGATTTATCTTTTAATAGTTTGACAGATGTTCAAAGAAAAGTTACAGCTGGTTCCAATAATTAATGTCACATGGACCAGTTGAAAGCAGTGAAGAAATCAAAGTATTGAAGGTTAAAACACAACTGAATGCAGACCTGGTTATGTTACACATTTTGTGCAGCAGTCTACACAGTTTGGAGTTCTATTAAACTTGAAAAATTTTGAATTACACACTTTAATTCTTACTGCTACACATTTCAGCTATCTAGATCAGCTATCATGGTTTGTGAATGTCACAAAAATTCTTGACTGCTACACATTTCCTGTATAATAATTTAAGTATAATAGTTTTAATGAAGAGAACTACAAATAGAATTTTTCACAAAAAGGCTACACATTTTAGCTATCCCTACAACTCATAGCTTTCATTGCACACAGCACAAAAGACAATGATGTTAACATTTTTTCAGTTCATCTAGTTTAGCATTCAGCTCCTCTTCCAATGTTGATATTTCTATGGACTTGTCCTTTGCAGATCTTCACATGGCATTGGACTTTGTGATAAGTGTGAAGTTCTGAGTCTGGTCAGCTTTCTCTGCATAACTGTAAGCTGACTTGAGCAAATCTTGTGTTTAACTTTCAAGTGAGTGTTTTTGGTCTTCAGTTCTTCAATTTCCATTTTTGTCCAGCTACTTCTTCCTATGTTTTTTCCTTTTCAGCCTCAAAGTATCAGTTGTATGCTGTTCTGACACTGGAAGCACTGCAGAAAAGAGCCTTAGTCATACGAACATTCCCAGCACCTCCAACAGTGGCTAAAAAGTCTGTGATAATGTGGTGTCCAACCAGCGTCTACTGTATCATATTGTCAGTGGCAATTTCCTTATTGATTGAGAAACCTCTCTCTACTAAGACCTGTCCATGAGAGAGTACCAGCAATCTGCGAATAACTTTCCACAGTTTTTGATATTCTTTGTTGCTAGACAAAGAAGAGTAGTACAAAGTGTCTAGATGGTCTTCATGCTTGCTGAAATTCTTGAAAGCAAATTTCTAGCATCCTCCTCCTCAACCCTTTTTTACTGACTGCTGACGTCATTGCAATCACATTCGCTAACGTATTTTCTGACCATCATATGGGAAAGACGTTTTAGACCATCTTCTGTGGCAGATTTTTTTACAAATGGATACAAGGTTCCACCATGTGAGCGAGCTTACAAGAGGGTATCTAAGGGGAGACTTTGCCAGAAGTTTATTAATGATGGTGATGAATATTGTTTTTGTTGCAATTCTACATGCAAACAGATCTTTTGTTAACATTTCCTTTTTAGGATAAATTTTGCATAGCTCTATCTGCCAGAAATCCACACTCAATCTTTGCAGTATCTTTATGTATGTTTGGGTTTCACAAAATTCTTACAAATTCATTCAGTTTGGAAAATGTAATTATCTCTTTAGTGTGCTATTCCTTTACAAATTTTCTTAACAGTTTCATGGGGATACTAAAATGATCTGCAAGGAAAGGAAGCAACAGGTGTTCAAGAACCATGCAGTCATTTTTTTTTTGCACCTACTTAAAAATAAAATTACAGTAAAAACAATACAAATTTCAGTAAACAAAATGATGTAATGGAATAACCAGTCACTCCCATGAGTGACTACAATATAGGTAGTAACTACCTATAAGTAGCTGTAAGTCAATGGACTACAGAGACTAGCTGGATCTGTTGAGTACGACTCAGACTTACACAAGAACTACTGACCTTCCAATAGTAGCACTCACTATTGGATTGACTTGCGACGACCTTGTGCATAACTGTTACCTTTATTCTTATTGTACTGATTTTTTTTTTTTTTTTTTACAATAAACCTTTACTTATTTTAGCTACCTTGTTTTTCAAGTATATATTCCTATTAGCATGGAATATAACACAAAAATACAAATTAAACCATAAAATCATAAAAAAAACCCTTGTTCTTTTAAACCTACAAATAAAAAGGGCTTTTGTTCTACTGGATTTCATGCAAAATCTTAAACCTAACAAACCAGAATTCTTCAGTCTAGTCTACCCAACTTTCTTCCTTGTGGAATATTGCTTATGTATGTACAAACTCAGAAATTCAATGGTAGTGAGAAAGGTTTGCATGAATCTGAGAAAGATAAAGAGAGAAAGAATCTATCTTAGATTGCTTGTGTTGCTTTTTCTGAAGGGTTTCCAAGAAAACCAGTTAGTGTAGGTTGCCTTCTTGTTTTGTTTGAGCTCCAAAAGTTGCTTGTGTTTCTGACCTTTACCATGTTTTTTTTAAAACAGTTTCACCTGTGTATGTTGCTGATGTCAAGTTTTACTTTGCACACTGTGCAGTTGGCTTTCCGTCTTGAACGATCTGTGGATGTAGCTAACCAGCTCTGATATTCTTATTTTAGTAACCAAGCATCATTGAACATGCAGTCATCTTTACCAAAAATTGAAATACTATGACATACGAGTTAAAGTTTCAGTTTATATATGCGCTGCACACAATGCAGAGATACAAAAGTGAAGGGACAGGGTTGACAGATTGAAATTTTAAAAAGCTAAGCAATAAAAGCCAAATAAGTTTTAATATATTTCATCATATTTTCACACTTACAACAAAATCTAGAGATACAGGTCATTACTAGCCTGAAAACTTTAAAAATAACATTCTTTTTTTTTTTCTTTTTTTTTTTTCAAAGACATTTCCTAAGACACATCAAAAGTACATTTTCTATTCTATCATCTTTCCCGTCTAAATTTTCGATTCAAATTTGATTCCCAAACTTGTTACTTTAAGCAACAATTTTTGCACAAACATAGTTTACACATAGATACACATTGACACAGGACACAAAGTATCTATTTTTTCAGCATGAACTTACCCACCACAGACTAGGGATCAAAAAAACTTATACTTTTGAAATTGACATGTAAAGAAAATTTCTTCAATGATACAAATTTTAAAAAACACTGAAAAATTTTTTGAGATTCTACTAAAATGTATTACATTACTATAAAATAATTTATTTTCCTTTCAACTACAAATTCAATGACTGCAAATTAATTTATCTTTGACGCCTTTTTAGCTTTGCTTTTCCTTTTTTTTCTTGTTAAGTGAGGGTAGCAGAAGGGAAAAAATATGCCTTCATAAACTTTCTCATGACCTAGACAAGAAAATACAGAAGTAACTACGAGGTCATGAACTCATTCTAATCAAGGAAACAAATCACCGTTTGCAATAATTGCCAAATATATATTTTTTTTGTTTATCCCGTAACCCGTGGGGTCATAGGGTCACCATGTGTGCTGCAGCTGCAGTAGAAGTGGTGTTTCTTGAGCAAGATAGCTTGACAGAGCCCAACCCTCTTCAGGCCGGTTTTGAATTCAGAGTTTTTCCTTCTAGACCAATTACCACCCAAGGTTATAGAACCCAGTTTGTCCTGCTATTTACCCATAGCTGGAAGAAGATTCATACCTGTACCAAGAGAATCAGCACATAAGTGAATGTAATGGATCTGAATGGAATTCAAACTTGGCTCTCCAATTCCTCAATCCAAGCCACTATCCATTACTCCACATAAAAAAAAAAAAAAAAAAAACAAACATTTTTCTTAAAGGACAAATTAGCTTGTAAAAAAAAGCATTTCTTGGATTTGTCATTTTGACTTGAGAAAAGGATGTGTGAGTAGCCCAATTTTAAAAATTCCAGAATTTTCAAGGAGCTTTTGGACCATTCCTGTATTTCCAGGACTTTTCAAACCTTGGAAAAGGCCCTGTCATTTTTCAGAGTTTTCAAGGTTTCCAGGACCTGTATGAACCTTGCCCCTTGCTTCTTAAATAACAACCAATATTCATATTTATGATTGTTATTGCAATATTTTGTTAGAGTTAAACTCAAATATTTAACGATCCAAAAAGGGAATTTCTATGGATATTTTTTTTTGCTGAGAACTCACCATGAGCTTATTCAATTATTAACTCATAAGTTAAGAATTAAGATTCATCAGAAAATTTAAATAGGAAAGCCGTACAGGTCTTTCTGGTAACATTTATCAGCACAAAAAGTGGAATTGGCAAACCAAACTAATGCCCCTTGAAATAGCATGAATCTATCTCTTCTCCCCTAAGAATTAAATACTATGATGGACTGTGCTTTCCAGCCTTGGTTGGCAGCCACTGTAGGAGAAGGACAACTATTTAAAGCCATGGAGAAGGCAATGAGAAACCACTCCATTAAGTTTCCCCAAGAAGCAATAGAAATTCAGATATTAATGAGAGGGAAACTGTGGAGAGTTATGACTGTCTATATCCAGAAGGAATATGGAAGTAAAAAAAAAAAAAAAAAAAAATAGCATAAAGTTAAGAATGTATGAATTTTTTCTGAATCTTAAGTTATTTTAATCTAATGAATTGAAAAGTATAAACAAACAATTTTCATTTATCATAATATAATCATTATATAAATTATACTTAGAGTATACAATTCTATTTTCCACACAAAGGGACAATTTCTGTTTTCCAGCATTTTACATCAGTAGGTGGGGAGGACTAGCAATTGCCAAGTCACAAGGTTGCTAGATTAAACATGTACAACTCAACTGCCATTAACATGCAGATATAAAATGTAAATAGATATTTTAATTAGTTGAATTAATTTTAATCAATTTCAAATCAAATTGAAACACAAGTTAATAAAAATTTTGTTTAGTATTTGTCATTTTGTGATTATCTGATCATTAATTTCAATATTCAGCTTTCAAATTTGTAGTAATAAAAAAAAAAAAATTGATGAAATAGTCAAAAAAATAAAAATGTATGTCTATTAAAAAAATTAAGCTCTGAACAGGTTTGTCACTTATTCAGAAGTTCTTTTCCAACCAAACTTAATTATATTTTTTAGGAATTGTTTTTGTTCTGTTTTTTTTTTGGCTTCATTGCAAATTATTTCTTGAGTCTCTTTAGAGATAAAATAGTCATCATTTCTTACCTGGACAATAGAACGGATCGTTTGGTTCATGTCTGTTATGACACCATCTGTGATAATCAATAATACAAAGTAGTGGGAGCCATCTTGAACGTTGGAAGCAAATCTGAAAGGAGAAAAATTCAAATAAAAAAATTCAAATAAACCACAAATGTTTGCAGTTCATCAACGATGATAACACATGGACTTCCAATATTTGATTTTAATTAGATACCTCCACAAAATCGCTAAAAAATCAGCATACAGTGATGAAAACAGGCTCCAAACAAACAATGAAAATAGTTTTATCATCAAAATTTGTATTATCAAGAAGATAATAGTATTTTTTGGATATTTAATTAAATTTTTTTACTCCATTTTAGAACATTGGAAATTGATTAAAAATCTTGTTTTTCATGTGTCAGTGAATGTACTATGAATTAAAATTAGCATAGCAAATTTTAGCATATTTTTGCGGTAGCAGACAATTTGCAATAATCTTGAAAAAAATCAAATAATTGTTTAATTTTAATGAAATTCACAGGACTTATTCACAAATGAATGAAATTATTTTAGAAACGTTTTTCATTAGAAAATCTTGGATATAAATATATTTTTTCTTTTAACATGTCTCAACCCCTTAATTTTATGAAAACTTGAGAAATTTATTTTTAATGACTATATTAGTTAAAAAACTGAATTCTTTGGAGAATTTAAATCAACAATATTTTTTTTTGCAAAATCAGACCCCATCTTACTGAATATGTGCTGTAAAAAATGCAATAAGGCTAAGACATTATTTAATTAGAAAATTGCTTTTATGAATAATATACAAAAAGGACAATGTTCTTAAAAAATCTTTTTTTGATTAAAAATGAATTTTTACAAGATTATTCTTTTTTTTTAAATTTTAATTAAAATAATTTATAATATTTTAAAATCTTTTAAGATTCAGTTTCAATGGTGTAATACCCAGAAAAGATAGTTATTAAGTAAAACTATATTTACTAATCATATATCATAAAGCTCATTATATTTTATCCCCTTTATTGTTTGATGTTTGAACAAGTTGCATTTTTTGGTAAAAAGGGGCTACTTCTCGTGTAGTTTTATTTTCTTTAAAAAAAATGTAATATAGTTGTGTTATTTGTTGTTGTAAATTTCGAATGAATAAAGTGGATTCAAGAAAAATTACAAAAAAAAAAATGAGGCTATATAGTTTTTGCTTCTTTAAAAAGAAATAACTAAAACTTAATTTAACTTTTTATTAAAATTTGATTAAAATTATTATAATTTGAAAAGATACAAGAATTTAACTTTAATTGAGATAAATCAATTTTATTTGCTTGAAAACAATAAAGTAATTAAATCGAAAGAGTTCCATGAGCAAGAAGTGCAATAGAAAAAACTGTTAGCATATAACTTACATTTACATCTAGCCATTTCAATTGTAAAATGATGAAACCATGCTGCCAATTTAATACTGTGCTTAAATTCATAAAGTCTAGGTGCCATAGAGTAAAATTCTGCTATGTACAGAAATGTGGCACAAGGCCAAAATGGGGAATGGGAGGAAAAGGACGGTCTTCTTCTGTCTTAACATTAAACTTAGCTAGCCACAAACCCTGACCCAAACATACAATATTCCTTACACCAAAACAATGCATTCTTATTTACCTTTCTTACTACAACCACCATAATACCTCATTGTCTCCATGAATGTCCTAACTAATCCCTATATGTACAATTCATTGTCTGTGATGGGGGAGGGGAATAAAACAACAATTTAAAAACTAGCCCCAATAAGTATTTACAATATGAATACAAATCTATTCATAAGAAACTAAACAAAAATAATGTTAGTAAAAGAAAAAAAAACAAAAAAAAAAACACAATCCATAGAGTAAAGTTCATCAGAACAGTTACCATGAAAATATTTATAGAAAAGGCACAGCAAAATTATGTTACGTCAGTGGGAAAGTGACTGAAGCTGAGATGCTAGGTCAAGGCCAATAAAATTGCAGATTTTTCTTTGTATATTTCAAGAATCTAAATATCTAACAGGGGAACCTAACCAGATGTAGCAGCAATATTCAATAACTTAATGTAGAGAGGTGAAGTTTGGGAATGTCATGAATTTCCCTAGATTCTAGCATCACTTAATAATTCTTAATATTTTATAGATAATAATTCATAAAAACAATGAAAATTTACTTAGCCACGTGGTTGATGACAGGGGAGAAGTTTGTCGGTCCGTACAGTTGCACCCGTTGCAGTGAGTCATAGTAGGCCTGCAGAATACCTTGGATGCCATTACAGTAGGGATTGGCTGCATTACAGTTCTGTAAATTGAAAAAAAAAATCAGATTAAGAAATTGCCCATTATTTAAATATATAATATTATATTGGCTAAATGTCTTTTGCTAATATTCTATAGGTGCCAGTGTATAAGACACATTTAAATAAAAATTATGTAAACATTACAGTTCACCTAATGTATCTTAATGATAATACACCAGTCTTATGACTATAGGACTTGGATGAGTTACAATAAATAGACAGTAGTCACCCAAATCCCATTGAAGACCATGTGCCTTACAGGCTGGCAAATATGATAATATGAATGCCAAACTATAAATACACATCTATCACATTGACTGCAGTTGAGATTATAGAGCCAGTGTGAACGCCATCCTTTCAATGGCTGAATAGGATGTGCTTTGCCAAGCAATTTTGAATTCAGAATTCTCCTTCTCTTAGACAGGTTGCCAACCACAACTAGAGAGCATAGTCTGACTTTATTAACTCATAGCTAGTGGGAGGAAGAAAAGATGGATTCATACATTTTCCAAGGTTATTTGTGCAAAAGTGAATGTAACAAATTATCAGAATTCAAATTTGGCTTGCTGATTTCTTGTTCCAAGCCATTAACCATTACATCACCTGCACATATATATGTGTGTGTGTGTGTGTGTGTGTGTGTGTGTGTCAGTGAGATATATATATATATATATATATATATATATATATATATATATATATGCAATATATTATTTATATATTATATATGCATGGTACTTATTGGAAAGCACTCAATATCAGTGATAGAGCTAACATATATAGTTAGATTGATGTGAGTTTGTGACCCTGGGTTTCACGCCTCTGCAATCATCAGGCAAACTGATTAATTTTTTAAAATTTTGGATTCATGTAGGGTTGCACATATTGGTGTTTTTATGGAAGTGGGAGGAAAAATTGTATTGTGATGCCACCCACACTTACGCAAACATACATACAAGCCTGTACATTCAATGATGTACACAGACACACATGCGCTCGCCCACCAGAGCTCACACAAACATAAACATATGTGAACAGTATGGTACTCAGCATATATATGTATATATGTGCTGTTGCGTACATACATACACATTTGATTGCTGTATTCAATAATGGATTATGTCGCAAATATTTTTTTCATTGCAGTGATGTCAACGCGCAGACTGTTTCTTTATTTTTGTTTGCTTAATAATATCTTCTTGCACACACACACATATATATGTCTGGTGGGGTCTGTGTAAAACTATGATAGGTAAAAATTGCTATTTTTAAAAATTTTTTTAAGGCTCTTTTGTTATTATTTTAAAGCTGGTTATTTGCTTGTTTTTGGTGATTGCGCATATGTAAATGGTAGAAACTCCAACTTGCAGCACCCCTCAATCTTAATGCGGTGATATTAATTTTGCTGGGATAGAAAGGAGTAATTTACATTAATGGTGATTGCAGACTAATACGGCAATAGTAATTGTGAGGCTTTTAAATTTGAGGACATTCATGAATATTCATCAGGTGGTTAAAAGGTCAGTCAAAACATGTGGAGGACACAAAGTGCCATAATTCAAAGTCTTGTAAGACAAAAATATGTGAGTAATATTCAATATTTTTTTTAATAAATGAATATTTTTAAATTGTGACATCCCTGCTCTTGTATATAAACATATACAATGGCCAACATTGCATGTGTGTGATATATATATATATATATATATATATATATATATATATTAAATGCATATTTAATGCGTGCATGACCGTGACATTATAACATGAAAAAAAATTCCATAATTGATAATTTTTTGTGTTTTAATGAATGCTCAGCACATTGTCAACCATTTTGCATATAAAAGCATAATGAAAAAAATTACGGTAATGGATAACAATGCACAACTTTGCATAAATACTTGTATTAATGAACAACATATAGTTTTGTACTACTTGCACCCCTGAAGACGATCTTGGAAGAACATTGAAAGTACATTTATCTCATCCTTTAACATCAATACATGAAAGATTATTCATGAGTACGAATGGATTTTGTTAAAAATTAGCAGACAATGTCTGTAACTTATTCAATCAGACATGCCTAAAAGAGAATTTGCTACCTAAATACACAAATCATATATATATATATATATATATATATATATATATATATATATATAAAAGTTAGGATGGGGATTTCAAGCCTCAAATTCAACCTTCCTAGAGTAAACCCTGTGTACTATGAAAGCATCAGGAAGAGCATCTGGCCTTGTAAAAAAACCTTGCCTCAAATCATGACAGGAGATCCTCTGTCATGCAGGACCCACTTTGCATTGTGCAAGATTAATTCTGGTCCTGCCTCAAAACAAAAAAAAAAAAAACATAAGGCTAGGATGGGATCCCAAGCCTTGAATGACAACCTTCCTAGAATTGGTGTCTTAATAAAGTCATTTGGTGTACTTGAACTATTTTGAGTGTCTGAGTTTGGCATCGTGAAGCCTATCTAAACTTGTAAGCTTCAAGTCATTATGACAAGTGATCCTCTGTCAGGTTTGACCCATCTTGCATTGTTGCAAAATTAATCCTGGTTATGCCTCAACAAAAAAAAAAAAAAAAAATAGACATTGCTATATGCATATGTATGTATGTATGTATGTATGTATGTAATATAAAAAAGTATGGTCAATTAATATTTTTATGTTTATTCAATATATCATTACAATGTTAATGTTTACAATTATAACATTAAAAAAAAATCATTTTGTGAATAAATCTAGATTAATAAAATGAGTTTAATTTTGTTACTATTTTCATGTGTAGCTTCCTTAGACCAGTATCATGCTTTAAAATAATCTGATAAACCAATACATGTGCTTGGGGATTCATGTTTTAGGTAACAAATATTCTTTCATATATATATATATATATATATATATATATATATATATATATATATATATATATATATACACTGCAAATACAAATAAATTACACAAAAAATGAAAATATTACTGACATCTCATTTTAACAGATATATTTACCACAAAATTATGTAAAAATATCTTGAAATACTAAGAGTAAATTTATTCAATAAAAACCGCCATTAGCCTCAACCACGTCCTCCAGATGAGTTTGGAATTTCCTGCAATTCTTTGAACAGTCTCCTTGTTTAAGTTGGTGAATGTTACTATGATCCTTGCCTCCAGTTCAAGGAGTTTTGTTGGTCTCTCACTCAACTGTGCCTAACACATAATAATCAAAAGGGTTGCAGTCTGGGGAGTGAGGTAGCCAAATCTAAGGGGTGATGTAGTTGCAGAAAGAGTCTGACAGCCATGACTGGGTTCTCTTGCTTGTGCAGTATGGAGTTTTCCAGCAGCCATCCTCTTGACCCAGATCAGCACTACCTCCTCAAGCCACTTGATGTAGGTCTCCATCTGGAGTCAGAGGCCCTATGGGTAGATGAATGGAGACATAATATTGCCATCAAGAGTGATCACTTGAAACACCATGATGTAGACTGGATATATCATCTGACTCTTTCCAAAACCTCAGCACCGTCCTCATATTGAAACCCAAATACTCTGAAATGTAGCTTCTAGTATGAATGCCGAGCAGTACAGCATGCTGTTAAATTTCTAGTGGAGTGAATTGTGCCATGATGCTCTTTTTTTCACAGACAGTGCCTAACTGACCCTACTATACCGTGCAATTGACAAAATCAAAAGCAACATGCATGTGCAAAATTAAAAATATACAATGCCAATAATTTACACACTGCACCATATATATATATATATATATATAAAAACATGTGCGCGCGTGCACGTACACACACACACACACACACATATAAGTAAAAAGTGAAAATTTAAATGTAAAGGTCTTGGTGCATACAAGTGGGAGGGAGAAAGTCCAGGAGAATATAAATATGTATTCAAATGTAGTAGCTGCCTGTTTAACAATGTGGGTGAAAGAAAGGATGTAGGTTTTAATTTTAACACAGGATTGTGTAGACATCTAACGTTACGCCTGTGTCATATTTTGGCTCTGATTATGTTATGATGACTGCAGCATCAGAGAAAGGATAATATTAATTCATTGATTCCAATTCAGATTTATTTTCCATTATATACATATCTAGAGATCTGCTTCAAAAGTGCCACTTTGCTTCTTATTAGCTTATGATTTGTGACCTTATATCCTGGTTTGCAGCAGTTCTTGTTTCCAATTTGCTTGCTAGACTAAGATATTTCTCTCCTGGTCAGAACAGCCTCTGACTGGTTGGTCGAAATATGACTTTATGGTCTAGTGATTCTGAATATACATCTACTTTTAGAGATGGTAATATTTTGGTCTTTTTGCTATTATTAGTTTATTTTTATTTATTTATTTTTCTATTACTACAGTTTCTTCAATTTTTATGGCCTACTTTAAACTTAAAAAATTTTTTTTGCACTTATTTTCTGGAATGACACCAATACACATTTCCTGCAGGTAAAAGTTATATAAAAGTTTGAGAAGCTAATGTTTCGGAAAAAAATTATAATTTTGAAAATTAATGTGAATGATGATTTTAGACAAATGATATATCTCAGCTCACTAGCAATGTCATAGACTGGAGCCAAGAAGATAAAGTCTTCTGTGTAGTTCTCAGTTATAGCAGAAAGTGGTGGAGGGGTTTCAGCCTCTATCTAGCACAGTGGATGACTATTTCTTTCATATAATTTTTTTTACAAACCACTATGAGTAGACAAACAATATAAAAGAAACTCAAGTATAAATCCTGAATTTTTGTTAATGGTAATATTAGCTGTTTCCTTATAAGGAAACATTTGGCATTCACTGACTGAGCAGCCAGTATTAATGTCAGTTGGAATTTATAAAATCTATCTCTTAAAACAATTTTTCAGGAAATAGGTTTCTCAAGTCAGTAGCTGTTATTGTACTTGCCAGTATTAAAGTAGGTTTCCTTCCTAACCTTTTATTTGAAGTAGTGTAGAATGTCAACATCTTGTTTATGTCATTATTTTCACTTTGAATTACATGTGCTTTTCATTTTATTTGTTGCCACTGTTGACAATCCTCAAGTGATATGGTTTCTGTTATTTGGTACAGTTCTTTGTGATTCTGTAGAATAATGTTCAAAGAAAGATTGTAAAGACCTACAGGCTTCAATCACTCATTGATCTGTGAAAATGACTGTATACAGCTGACAGTTTAAATATTTCTGAACAAGTTTAGTACCATGCATGACGTCCTTATGAAAGTTACGCTCTGATGAGGCTAATTTGAGCTTTCAGGTTAATGTTTTAGCTTTGTAGCAATAATCGTAAATATAACCACATAAAATATTGGATATTTTACTAAGACAATGCTACTGAAAAAGTAAAGCAACAAGATGTGCAATCATATTTTTAATCATCTATTTTATGTGTGTGTGTGTGTGTGTGTGCATGTGTTTGCAATAAAAGAGTTCTTAAAGAGAAAAAGCCAAAAGTCTAACCAGTGCAAATTCATGAGAAACAGTACCATCTGGTAATCGTGCTCCAAATCCAAGAGTTGGAAACATTTTATCACTACAAGAAAAAAAAGATGAAGTGTTATTTTTAAACTGAAGATTTTTAAAAATGGATAAAATTTTAAGATTATGAAAAAGGAGAAAAGCAGTAAAAATATAAATCTTTGATAACAAATTTAAACTTTGTTGCCAAATAAATGCTTATCAAAATTTTAATGCACAGTAGGCTGAACAATTCAAATCTAATTTTCCCACTAATTCAATGAAAAAGTCAAATCTTTTCCAGACATTGCTCTTAATTTTTGAGTAAAATCAAAATTATTGAAAAATAAACATGTATAATACATTGACATTTTAACATTTGTAGCAACTAAATATTTGCTCACATTTTTTTTTATTCAGTTCATATTGACTACAAATAAGAATTTATAGAGCTTAAATAAAGTTTACACAATATTTAGGACAAAAATGCAACAAGCTTTCAGTGAAAATAAACAAGAAAACAAAATTATATACAAAGTGGCTAATGACTATTTCTCTGAAATACTATAAAAGAGAAGTAAACATTACTTCTATTTCCTTTCTTGAGGAAGAAAGACAAGATGACTGTGGACAGTGATGATACTGAAGATCACAAAGGAATCTGCTATGCTGACAATATAGATGAAACTGCTATGGTGTCCATCTTTGATATGGACAGCTTTGAATAAGGTTAAAATGTCCCTAATATCTATGGGAATAAATAAATTAAAAAAAGAAAATGCTGCCTTTTGTTAGTGGTTTAAACTCTTTCTTAAACATTAGTTAGTTTGGATCATAGATATAACTTACTGTTGATCATACCATCCTAAATATGGTGACATACATGGCCAGAAAAAAAAGGTTCATATTTAGCTCATGCTTATAATATGTACCCCTAACCTTTAAGGTTTAAAAATTTTGAAAAAAGTGCATGTTATCAATGAATAATTACAGTAACTATATGAAAAAGTGTCCCTAACATTTCTTAAATTATTTATATGGCAACAAAGAAGGGTACTTTGATGTGTTGTAATGGTTAGCAAGCTTGTCTCACTAGATCAGTTATGACTGAGTAGGGAGTTTAATCCTCAGTGAGTGCTCCTTAATCTCGGCCTTGTGCAACAAATAAGCTATGCTTAGTAAATCACTATAAGACAACAAGGAATAATTTTTATGCTCTACTTTCACTGAAGCAGAATTTGTTATTAACAATATTGTAAGATAAGAAAGTTTATTTCATTCTTGTAATTTTGTTACATATTAGAAATTAAAATGTTAGTATTCTGACCATGAGCCTCAGGTTCAAATCTCACCAGGGTTGAATTGTCAAAGAGGTGACAAGGAAGATGATCCCAGCATACAGCACCATTGGGAAGTGCCTGAAAGCTATACCACACGTTGATCCAGTTCTTGTGAGTGAAATTGGACAAAACAAAACTGTTCAGAAATTATTGATGATTGGACTAACATAAGGTAACAAGTCATCATAGCAGAGGGTTTGAGTAATAGTGGCCTTGTTCAAAATGGTGATCATGTCAGATTATGTGCTCTGCCCCAAAAATTGTAACAAAGGTCTGCTCAGCATAGTCATAGTATAAAGTACAGCTTAGCTCTGAGGGTGTTGAAGAAATACAAATCTGTTTGAGCAAGAATCTGCAAAAGGAATTAGCTAGCTCTTCTAGCAGTAGCTATATTTAGAAACAAATAGTCAGTCATACCAAGATATCCATTAGATGCCTTTTTTCTCCACTTCTTACATGCCCAATTTTTCCCTGATCTGAGAAATCATTTTTAAAAATTTTTTGTCCCAATCTGTTTCAAACTGAATCTCTTCTGTAGTTGTATTTTTATAGCTTTTCTTAGAGATTGACTTTTTTTTTATTTACAGTTTATCAACCTTTTGCAGGTTATTTAAAGCCAGAAAATATTAGATTGCAAGAACTTTAGAAATAATGATTTACTAATACAAGTCTTACAAATTAACCCATAGCTGGTGGGGAGAAGAGGTGGATTCATACCTTTCCTAAGGTTGTTGCATAAGTGAACTGGAATTGGAACTCTGCTCTCCAATTTCAAGCCATTATCATTTACCATACCTGCACATCCAAGCTTACAGTGTTTGGTATTCCCAAGCAGTCATCCACCTAGGTACTGACCAGGCTCACTATTGCTTAACTTTGGTGACCATACAAGAAGCACATGTTTCAATGCGATATAGCCATAAGCCTAGCTTTTCTTATCAATTCTATTATGCTATGATTAATTGGAAACTGTAAGACTAGCTCCAAAGACATTCATTTTACTGCCTGACTTCTCTTGTTAAAATGAAGAAAAACACTATCCCACAATTTTTATTCTATCATGTTGACCATCACAGTCTTGCATGAAGGTTGGAAAGTCATTAGGGGTGGTATCGTGTGTCATTACATAGTTGGTGGTTGCTGTGTGACCAACTCATCTTGCACCACGGCTAAGTGTTCAGTGCAGTAGATCACTCACAAGTTCTTGTTTTGCACACCAGCAGTGTCCTGCAAAGTGCATCCTGTATTCACATAAGATTGTAGAAATATCAGGAGTCAGTCCATAGAACTGTGATTTAGTTGGATGTTGTCTCCAAGAGATGTTAAGTATAGCTCTTAGCATCTGAGTGTAGGTTCCATCAAACTTAGACTCAAGGGTTTTAGTTAATGTCCAAGCAGTGGCACCATACATTAAAACCAACTCTACAGTAGCATGAAAGAAACTCTGCTTGAGGTTGTCTGGTAGATCAGATTTCCAAGTTACATCCATTTTATTCAAAGCAGCCCAGGCTTTAGCTATGTGAATTTTCACGATTCAGTTAAGGCAGTTTGTATTGAGCCTTGCTGGTTGAAGCTTATGAATTCAGTTTTAGAATCATTGACAAGAGTCCAACATTGTTAACAGCATTTTCTAGATTATGTAGTGGCATTGGTAATGGTGTCTGCAGTGATAGCTAGGTCATCTACCTAATCAATATTGGTCAACTTTTTTTTGTAGGATATCAACTTGGGAGACATGGTCATAAAGTAAAACCTAGATAATGATGATCTTTGATAAAATTAAGGGAAAAAGGATTGTGTCTAACCTATCATAATCTTGAATGATTTCTCCAACAGCATGGATGGCAGCAGCATATTGATTCATCTGGTAAGGATTGTAGTAATGAAGAGATGTTGGGCTGGTTGGGTTGCCATTTGAGGCAGTGAAGTCAATAGCAACAGTAAAGTTTAATTGTGTTCGTCTGAAAATAAAAGAAGTCAGGCACAAGTGTTAAGACAATATCAACAGGTTGAAATAAAAACAGGGATTCATAAAAATATCTATATGTATTTGTATCTGTTAATACTTGGGTGTAACTAATTTAAAATGCATTTCTACATCAGTTATTAACAATTTATTTTTATAGGAAGTCCTTTCTAATCCATTTTTATACTAGTCTTTCGCAATGTTAATTTATAATAAAATGACTGACAATGTCTTTCAATCATTTGAAATGCATTTTTTACAATGATTTTAAATGCATTTCTTGAACGAATTTTTAATATATTTCCATACTAATCTGAAATTAATTTATCTAGTAAAATCATTTACAGAGTATTTTTAATGTATTTTTCAATAAATCATCTAAAATACACTTGTATACAAAATAATCTCTAGTGTATTTCTGTAATCATATTTCAACAATTTTTAAACTTTGTGCCCAAAAAAAAAAAAAAAAAAAAAAGATCAAAAGGACAGTTATTCCATAGACACTGCCATTATTTTAACTACTTTCACTCCTCGGTAATGTTTTACAAGAAAAAAAAAACAAAAAAAAAAAAACATCCTTTTGATACACCATTTCTTTTGCATGTATTAAGGTTAAAGATTGCCCACATTTTTTTAGTTAACACCTATGGTAAATTCTTATTGTAAATCCTAAGTAATATTTTGTTATAACTTATCTCTTACATAAAATGTGTGTCTAGATTATATAAACAACAAAACTACTGAAGGACCAAACTGCACGCATGCTTTCATACCTCAAAAGTGGAATCATGTTAAATTTTATCTGAAAAGAAAAACATTATTTAAACAGATACCTAACAAATAAATGGTTATCACTACCATAACAATTCAAGTTACTTGCACTTGTTTTTTTTTTTATTACTTGCTCTGATTTACATAAATAATGAATCAATTCTAATTTATTTTTTGGCAAATGTTTCCTAAAAAGAATAATTCTTATCAAAGACGATTTTCATCTGTATATAAATGTCTTCATTTTCCAACAAAATTAAGTTTCCCATTAGCAAAACTCATAACATAGTTAAGCTGGACACAAGTGGAGAAATAATAGAAACATAATAGAAAAAGTGACAATTATGAAATATGAACCCTCTACAAAAGATACTGATTATTCCAAAAACCAAGGTGAATAGATAGAAAGGCCCACGAGTACAGTGGTTGAAACATGATAAAAACAACCAAGATGAGGATGCAAGTTCAAAAGAATCAGTATGTAAATGACTTACTGTAATCATCTGTAGTGATTTGCTAGATCACTTAAAAGTCTATTTAAAAATATAACAATAGTAGCATTTTGATTTAAGAAAAATGGATAATTTATGCTTTTTATTGAAATATAATTAGTTAAACGTTCATTTCACTCAATGACAAAATACAATATCTGGTTTAAACCAGACAAATCCAAAGCTTAAAAAACAAAGAAAATCCAAAGCTTAAAAAACAAAGAAAATCCAAAGCTTAAAAAACAAAGAAAATCCAAAGCTTAAAAAACAAAGAAAATCCAAAGCTTAAAAAACAAAGAAAATCCAAAGCTTAAAAAAAAAAAGAAAATCCAAAGCTTAAAAAACAAAGAAAATCCAAAGCTTAAAAAAAACAAAGAAAATCCAAAGCTTAAAAACAAAGAAAATCAAAGCTTAAAAACAAAGAAAATCCAAAGCTTAAAAAACAAAGAAAATCCAAAGCTTAAAAAACAAAGAAAATCCAAAGCTTAAAAAACAAAGAAAATCCAAAGCTTAAAAAACAAAGAAAATCCAAAGCTTAAAAAACAAAGAAAATCCAAAGCTTAAAAAACAAAGAAAATCCAAAGCTTATAACAGAAGATTTTTAAGATTGTAAGAAAGCCAATATAAGGATTCCAGAAATAATTGGAGCTAATTTTCTTATTTTTGTTATTCTAATCCCAACAGTTTCAGTGTTACTCTTTTCAGTGATCTTCAAGCAGTTCAATTTGTATCTGATAATATGTTTTAGTTGAAAATGTTTATTTTCATTTCAATAATTTCACATTTCATCTAATTTTTAATATAGTTTTCTCACAAAGAATTGCAAACAAAGATTTTCCCTCTTCATTACTCCATAAAAAAAAGCATCCTCAAGTGAAATAATCTGCCTTAAGAAAGTGTGAAATAAAATAGCTTCTTAGTTTAATTATTAAGTTATAATTAAAACAGTTAAGCCAAATCAGAAAACTTACCCTATATATATATATATATATATATATAAAATTGTGTATTTGGGCAGCAATCCCTTTTATACAGGTTTCATGAAAAACAATTGACTAGGTTCTGTGGCTAAGTTTTTTTACTTAATTTTTCTTATTAATTTTCTTCTTTTCTGAACGTAAGTTATACAGAAATTGTCTAATGTTTTATATGTCCAAATGCTTTTGGCTATACTTTTAGCCATTATCAAGAATGATTTTATTTTTACTTTTAACTGAATGTATGGATTGCTTTATGTATGTATCTAGAATTATAAGAATGTTTTATTTTCCAAACAGTCAACAGTGTGGTCATGTTAATAAAAATGAAAAAGCCAGCACTCAATAATATCAATTATTAACACAGCCACAATGTGGACAATTTCTACATAATTTACATCCAGAAAAGAAGAAAATTATAAAAACAAGAAAAATTAAAGAAAAAAACTTAACCACAGTACCTTGTCACTTGTTTTTAATGAAACGCGTATGTGTGTGTGTGTATCTTGTATAATAAGTATGTTTTAATGCCATGTCCCTTCAGAATGCAGATGGTCATCCCACTTCAGAGATTCATTTTCTTTATAATCTATCAACTTTCTCGTTAAAAATAATGGTTTCCCATTGCCTTCTCTACAGTTTAGAATTCAGAATTTTCTTTCCCTTAGACTGGTTGCCACACAAGACTAGATAGCTCATTCTAGTTTATTATTTAACCCATAGCTGATATTGTGTGGAAAAGATGGATTCATGCTTTTCCAAAGGGCATTTGTGAGAAAAAGAATGAAACAGGCTAGACCAGAGTTTAAATTGGGCTTGCAAATATCACTATTTACACTGATAACAGTTATTCTACCAGCACATCAAATGGATACAGAGTGCTGCTCTAAACTGTTAAAAATTAGAGACACATTTAAAAAAAAAAAAAAAAAGAAAGCATTTTATTCACATAATAATAGAGTGCCTAAAATGGAATAAAGCATTGGTTCCTGAATTTGGTGGCATAGTAATTGTGAGTTCAATCCCTGGGCCAGGCAGTGCATACTTGAACTCAGTGGAAATAGGTGAACAGCACTAAAAATAAAACTGAGATAAGATATCCCCAGACATGGGCAGTGGGGACAACATAACCCTCATAGATTAAATAAAGGGTTCAGTTCAGAATGCCCTGTAGGTTAACCAGGTCGATATTCACCTAATGAAGGCTGGAGGGTGCAACAACTGAAACATTGTGATAACAAAGACGAGGACAATAGTCCAAATGTAAATAGTGTAAATATGATTGCAATAAAGAAAATGTAAATGTACTGTATAGCATAAACACAGAAAATATGGTATGACAATCTCTTTTCAATCGTTAAAAAAATGTTTTTATTTTTTTATTTATATTAACTGATTTGAAAATGATAGCAAGTTTAGTATTTGTATAGGAAAACTTCAAAAGAAAAGCTTAAATCAAAGCATGACTAATAGCAGCATTTAAATCAAGCAAATAATGATGGAAGTTCATATAACAATTACAGATAAAAAAAAAAAAGCACAATTATAGATAGCATAAAACTTACCCCGATTTAATGTAGTCTAAGAAAGAATGAATTGTTTCAGTCTTAATGGACATCAGTATAATCTGAAGATTAAAAGATAACCAATTAGAAGCAGTTTGATAAAACAGCAATCATTTATTAATAATTATTATCATTAATTCTCATTTGAAATCACTAATAAATTCATTATTATTTATTAACTTTTTAATGTACAGCATCCCATTATATGAATGGTAGGCATTCTAACTTATAGGTAGAGCCTATAATTAATACTAGCAACTCCAAAAAGTGACTAAATATTGAGCATACATGAAAGAAATGCCCAAAACTTACTAAAAATAAAGTTATATCCTCAAAATCTTGTTTTATTATTAAAAGAAAAGGCCGAAGTACTTTTTATGTAAAAATTTTTTTTAAATTATTTTTAGAACCATTGAAAATTTTGTTTTTCTGGCATCAAAAGCAGACCACAAATTAGTATGAGAAATTTGAACAACTTTTAGCACAACACATTGATTTGGAAATTGTTGGATTTTAATTAAACTTTCAGAATTTATTCACAAATGAATAAATTTATTTTTTAAACTTTTTTTTTTTTTAGAAACTCTTAGTAAAAATTTTTTTTTTTTTAAATTTGTTATGCTCTACTTAGTTAATTTTATGAAATTTCATAAAATTCTTTTTTAAGATAACGAGGTAGTTAAAAAAAATTATCTAAAAAAGGCATTTATGTTGTATTCGTTATGTAATTTACTACAAGTATTTCTCCCTTAAATAAAACTCACAATCATCAGGTTAATCATGTGTCAACACCACATAAAAACACCCACCTCCATGCTAAAAAATGCTTTTCTGCAATGCTTTGAAAGTAATATAATTAAATTTTAAAAAGATATTTTTTTTAATAGAGAATTATAATGTGTTAACAAATTTGTCAATATGGCCGATTTTAGTTATTTAAAAAAAAACAAAAAAAACATTCCAATAAATTTAAATTCGGTTTGATATGCAGTAAAGTATTTTGCTTATTGGGAATATTAAATTTATTCTATTGGCTTGGAATTAAAAATAAAATAAAAAAACCTCAAGAAACATTTTTCATTTTTAAAACATTTTAAACTTAGGGTGTTTTTGTTTTTTTTAATGAAGGTACCTAAATTTTTATAAACATAGAATTCTGAATTTTCTATAAACCTATGATTAATAATAGATTGTCTTTTTTTAGAAAACTGTAATACTGTTTTTTTTTGTTTTTTTTTTGGAAGAAAGACTTCAACATGGTGTAACAGTTAACAAGTTTGTCTTGCTAAATCATTATGCGTGAGTAGTGAGTTTGATCTTTGCTGGATACTCCTTAATCTCCACCTATTACCACAATTAAGCTAAGCTTAGTAAATCACTATAATACCTGGTTTTCATTTTAACTTTTATAATCAATACCAGATTCTACAGTGGACATTAACAATTTAATAATCTATAAATAGTTTATTATTAATTATCAAGAATTTAAATCTTAACAGACATAACCATGATACTAATGATATCAATAAACAACAAACAGACCAACTTTTAACACTAAACTTTACAAATGGAACTTACCTCACCAGAGTTTCTGTAATTCTTCTTTTTGGCTTTCTTCTTAGGATTGATTGCCTACAGTGAGAAATAGAGTGTGAATTCAATACTAGACAGTATTAAAAGGTGTTGTTAAGGCTTCTAAAAAGCCACAAAAGATCAAGTGACATAGCAGAAGTGATAAGATGGAGGTTATACTTTCTCTAAATTTTACTGGTCAATTTGCACAGCTTATGATGTAACATTGTGCACCAGGCGATAAAAAGTAATTATGACAAAAATAACTGTAAAGAATTTCCTTATAATGAGGGACTAGCTGATTAACAAACATTAATATTTTTCCTTTTAGTCTTCATTTTCAGCATTTGGGAGGCTGAACATTAGCATAACCAAAGACTTTCATTTTTTTTTTTTTTTTTTTAAATTATTTCACCCCAAGCAAAGCAATAAAGCCAATAAGACACAAGGGGTTATTGAGTTTGAGAGAATATGAGAAAAACTACTATTAAGGAGAGAGGACAATAAAAGAACAAAAATTAAAACAGAAGATAATGATTGACATTGCATTTAAATTTTTGAAGATCACACAAGTTCCACAAGTGAGAAATGTGTTAGAGGAAACTGTTAACATAGAACTTATGGTTTTATCTAGCAATTTCAACTGTAAAATGATGAGGCCATGTCATAAATCTAGTACTGCAATTAAGTATGTAAATTATAGGTACCATAGTGGACAGTTCATCAGAACAATTACCATGAAAGTATTTATAAAAAAAAAAAAAAAAAAAAAAAGGCAAATGGAAGCTACGTTAGAGCAGTGGTAAAGTGACTGAAGCCAAGATGCAAAGTCAGGACTAATAACATTAGTTTCTTCTTTGGATTTTATCAAGAATCTCTAAATATATAGAAGGAGCACCAGACCATATGTGGTAGCAATATTTAAAGCAAGGAGAAATGGTAGACTCATAAATATATAAGATAGGATTGTCTAGCATGACATAGTGCACCAATTTTCTCAACTGCAGACCTAGCAATTGATTCAATATAATCTTTCCACTTCATATCAGCTGAAAATGTTAGTCCAAGAAGGAACAATAAGTCATTCTCCTGGAAGCTAGCATCAGCCATGTTGATGGAAGGTAAAAATGGGTTCTCTCAGATGATTAAAAGAGAGCAATTTTATTTTTGAGGGGGTTAAAATTAATAAGCCACACCTTGTCCCATTTAACAACAGATTTAACCAAATAAGGATTTTTCTATCAGATGCTAGTAAATCTCCAAGAATGCCTGAAATCAAAGATAACACTGTTGCATTGGCCTTCTATATGCCTGTGAATCTTGCAATTTAACAGCAGAACTACAGCAAAGTATGCATACATTATGACGAGATGCTTACTTTAGATGGAGTAGTGGAGGTCATTATTAGATGAAGACTGTATTAATAGCATGGCAGTTGTTTTCCTAGAATCATGTGTACAAAATTATATATATCATTATCCCCTTGACTTTTATAATCATAGGGTGGATCTGAATGTAGTAGCCACACTAACTTTTCCACAACAGTCTATTAACAGCAGCCATCAGCTATTCTGGTAAAATCATACCTGTCCATTTCTTGACATTGTCCAACCAGTTTTTTGCATTGGCATCCTCACCTACATCAACTTTCAACGGTTCTTTGCATGATGGTTTTGCACATGTTGTCATACCTTGCAATGTGTCCAAATCACGCCATTTTTCTTTGTTTGACAAGAAGCCCACAAAAGTTTCAATACTTTTCCACACAAACTCATTGGTTTTTTTTTTCTCAAATAGAAAATGTCAATGAGTTTTCTCACGTATTTGTTCTCAAACACTTGGATCTTTCTCTCTGTATCTGCCAACAGTGTCCACATTTCACATCCATATAAGAAAATGGCAACTACCAGCAATTTGTAAGTCTGTACTTTGCTTGAAAGCTGATTTTGCTCCTCCATATTCTTGTCAATTTGGCCATCACTGCCATGTGCAGATTTCAGTGTTACAAGTACAATCTTTAAACAAGATTGCTCCTAAGTATTTACAACTGGACACTTTTTCCAGTGAATTATCTCATTCATGGTAATGTTAATACAGGTGTTACTGCTTGTTATTCACCATTACTTTGGATTACTCAGAGCTGACCTCCATTCCATATGCTCCTGCTCTTTCAAAAATTTGTTGGTAAAGTCCTGGAGCTCACTGTTAGTACCTGTTTATGAGGTCAAAGTTATCTGCAAAATGTAAGTTACAGATGGGTCTGCCACTGATAGGGATTGAAGGAACATGGTCGTTCAAGGTTTCTTGAATGTTTCTCTCTATAAGTCTACCATTTATCCATGCATTGAATATTGCTGTCACATTTGATCTGATGTTTCTTGATTCTTAATAAAATCCAAAGAAGTATCTGCAATCTCATTTTCCTGACTTGGCATCTTGGCTTCAGCCATTGTGATGTAGATACCCTGTGACTTTTCTATAAATATTTTCATGGTAATTGTTCAGAGGAGATTTCCTTTTTTGTACATAGATTTTAGTAATTAAATGTTGTACTAGATTGGCAGCAAGGTTCCATTTTACACTTGAATTGTCTAAATCAAAGCATAAGTACTATGATAACAGTTCCTTCTCTAACACTTCTCACTTGTGGAACTCTTTTAGCCTCTTGCTTTCCATTCAACTTTGATCTTCAAAAATTTAAATGCAATGTCAATCATTATTGTTTGCCTTTTTTCCTGTTCTTCTATTGTTCTCTCTCCTTAATGTTTTCTTTTTCTCATATTCTTTTACACTCATTAACTCCTGGTGTGTTAGTGGCTTTATTGCTTTGCTTGGAGTGAAATGATTAAAATAAAGAAAAAAAAAAAAGAAAGATGAATAAGAGAATGGAAATACCTTAACTCACCTCATATCTGTTTTCACTTCCAGACCCTTTGAGCAATGTCCGAACATTTGTAGTGAACTCACCAATAAAGTCATGCCTGGAAAGTACACAAGTCTCTTTATATTTACTTTGTATGTCAAACAGTCAAAATGAATAACATGATTATTATTTAACACAAAAGATATTTGCTTTCCTATAAATTACTTTTGCTATACATTTGATGGCATATGGATTTCAATTGAATTTAAACACCTATAACTAGTTTATTCTTCTTTGTCAAAAATGTGTTCATTGTTGACCCTTGCCATGAGTAATGTGAGATGAAGAATTGGATTTACTAGTCATACTATTTTTTGATTGATTTTATACTTACATTGTAAGCACGATTCAGTACTAGTTCCTATTCATACTAGCAACTACAGTATTCCGCTAACTAGTATTGGTTGTACCATGCCATTTTAGTTGACTGTGTCACTTACCTACCATCACCACTCCCAATCAAACCAATGTATTAGTTTAGTGCTTGTCTATGCAACTGGACATCTTCTGCTCAATCCAGTTTTTTTCATTGAGGTTTGCTGCTCAAGGTGACTAACATTTTGATAGCAGAATTTCCCTAAAAATGGCTAAAAATACCTCCCAGGTCTTGCATGTGACATTTAAGTATCAGGTAAGCTAATATTTACTCAGATGTCAATACTTGTACCTAGCCTCAACAGTACCAATGGGGGTGCTTGGCAAGAAAGAATATTTCCAGTTTACATTTGCCCATTCTAGGCATTATTATATCTGTGAGATAGTAACACTTTAATACACAGACAAACAGCTGAAAGAAATGACAAAAATCTACTAATCTCAAAGAGATTTTATATACCACTGTGTCATACAAGAAATTATATACAAATATATAAATACTTGTCACTAATTTATGTCACACAGAGAAATTGTAACATGAATAAAATGAGCTGAAGGGAAAGGCAAGGAGCATGAGTGTCTTACTTGTAATATTTCCCAAAGTGAAAATAGCCAGGCCATTGGTATGTTCAACAAACATCAAGGTACCATGTGGGATCTTCTATTCTCACTACCACTGTGGACTTGAGATGATGTCTATGCCTTAGCAATCTATTATCAGCAACAGACATGGGCAGATATGTTTTGTCTCTACACGTGCTAATTAGCAACTCTGCATTTGTCACCCCACAAACTCATGTAACTTACTGGCCATCTCATGACTCCATCTTAACTAAAGGGAGATAATCGCTCTTTACATCCCAACAATACTGTAATATTAAATGTAAATGGGGAGGGGAGTCTTATATACCATCAAATATGATTGGTCACACAAAGATATAAAACCTTGAAGAAAAATGATTGAAGCAGATATTGAAGAAATTATTTGATTTGCAAAAAAATATAATTTCATTTACCCGCCATCTCGATCCCAATCATAGCATTCAACTTTGATAGCCCTATAAGTAAACAAAAAGCAGTCAGTTGAAGCCATATTGTAAGAATAGTGGAAACAAACAAAAAAACAAAAAAAAAACAATAATACTTTATCATTAATTTACATTTGAAGTAAAGACATTCTTTTAATTTACTATAAACTTTTATTACATTATAATTACTACAAACCATTATTTTTCATTTTTTCATTTAAGATAAAGAAAACTACAAGTTTATTTCAATACACAAAATGGGAAAAAAAACGAAAATACAGTCTTTAACATGCAATCTTTTGTTTACTTTTGAAATTTTACCAATTCCTATTTCCCAATAGTTATTGAGTAGTATTTTTTCAGTGTGTGTTTTGGAGTTGACAATTTCCCAGTGGATGTTTAGGAATTTGCAATAAGGATTTGCTGTTAGTGTAACAGTTATTGCTGTTGGAAGTGGAATTGTTAAGTAAAGTTCAAATGACTCTGAGGAAAAGCATGAATATCTCTTCTTGTCACCCACCACCAGCTAATGGGTTAAATAACGGGGTAGATAGTTTAGTTTGTTTAACTTTAGATGGCAGCCAGTCTAGGAGATGAGTCATGCTGATTTCAAAACTATAGAGAAAGCAATAAGAAATCATTCCAATATATTTCTCAAGAACACATGGCTATTCAAAGATAATAAAGAAAATGAAGCCGTGGAGAGCCATTACCATCTATGTTCTGAAGAAAGAAAAAGAACTCTGAATTCAAAACCATAGAGATGGTAACTGGAAACCACTCTACTATCTTTCCCAAGTCATTATGCCAATTCACAGATAATAAAGAAAAGGAATCTGTGGAGAGTCATGATTGCCTATGGAAGGGACAAAGACAACTTTGAATTCAAAATCATAGAGAAAGCAACTGGAAACCACTCTACTATCTTTCTCAAGAAGTCATGGCAATAAAACAAAGGAATCTTTGGAGGTCATGATCATCTATGGCCTTAATGGAGAAAGGAATCTTCAAATTCAAAACCATAGAGAAGGCACTCTACTATCTTTCCCAATTCACAGATAATAACAAAAAGGAATCTGTAGAGAGCCATAATCATCTACTCTTTGAAGAGAGAAATACTACTCTGAATCCAAAGCTGTGGAGAAGGCAATGGGAAACTGCTCTATTATCTGTGAATTACCATGACTTCCTGAGAAAGATAAGGAAAAGGGAACTGTGGAGGGCCATAATTGACTACTATCTGAAAGGAGAAAGTCTTCTGAATTCAAAACTAAGGAGAAGTCAGTGGGAAAATAAACCATTATTTCCCAGAAAGTCATGGCAATTCACAGATGATAAAAAAAAGGAATCGATGGAGAGCAATAATCACCTACTATCTGAAACAGGGAAAACTACATTGAAATCAAAACTTCATAGAAAGCAATGGGAAATCATACCACTGTCTTTCCAAATAATTCATGGCAATTAATAGCTAATAATAAAAAGGAATCTGTGGAGAGTGATAATAGTCTATTTAAAAATAAGCAAAAGCTCAAGTGTTAAGATATGTTGATTATTGAAGATAAGTAAAACTTATCCAACAGAAATAAATAAAGTTTAGAGTCAGCCATTTGTAATATGTCTGATTATGATAACCACATATTTCAGATTCTCCAACTTAAATCAAACCATAAAGCAATAGTGAAAATAATATATATTACTTCTGTCTGCTGAATAATTGATCATTGGTTTATGAAATAAACAGCCTTAAGCAGTGAATGTGTTTTGCTTTAATATTAATTAAAAGTTTTTGCAAGGAGAAACAATTTGTTTCGTTCCTCAATAATGATATACTTCCATTCTGTTTTTGGTGTATAGCATACCATAATCCTTTGTGTATAGATTGCTAAAGAGTATAAGATGCAATTAAAAACAGAATATTTTTTTTATTCTTATGTATAAAATGCACCTGATTTTAGAGCAAAAAAAATTACCAAAACTGGTGAAAAAAGAGAAAAAAAAAACAGAAACAGGACATTTTGTTTACTTTTATGATTCATAAGAATTACGAAACTGTGATAATAACTCTTGGGGTATAAGACTACTAAATTCCCAACGCACATTAAAAAAATAAACTGAAATAAAATTAAATAAATATTAACTTGTGTCTCGGTATCTAGACTCAACAAAATACAAACCTGTATGGGTTTTAGAGAAACATTATGAAAGATTTATTTCCCTTTGTTGCAATACACCATTAGATAAATATTATCTCTCTGGTAAACAAATCCAATTTGGCCCAATTTTGTCCATTTTGAGTGCTGGAAAAAATGGGATTAAGTTCTACACTAAAGTATAAGACACAGCAGACTATTGGATATGGTTTTGGATGAAAAGCCTGCATATTATATACACAGGATTATGGCATTTACAAAAAAAAGCAGATCATTGTCTTTTCCAGAAGCATGAAAGTAGTATTGGCAGTCCTGTTTGGGATTGAACCATTACTGTACAGCTATCATAACCAGCAACAGAGTTAAAATTCCATTCTCTACCAACTGCTTCCTTTGATAAAGAATAATGAAAGAAAATGTTGCAGAGAATTGGATAATAATGAAATCAGCTAAAACGGTAATTGTTAGCGACAGCATTTTGAAAGGCAATTTGTTACAATTTAAAAAAATCTGTTAAAAACGGTTGGCATGAAAATGGACAGTGGAATCCTGAATGTAAGAGCTCCTACAAAGAATTAATAAAGACAAGGGAAAAAGGAATAAAACACCAAAGGAAACCAGATGGAGACGGAAAAGAAATGTACCTGTCATAATCACCATTACAGAGGACTCGTGCCAAAAGCGTAAATGGTTTCCAGGTGGGATTTAAGGTGTTTTTAATGACTTCTGTTTTGTGGACAGCAGTAAAACTAAAAGAAAAAGAACAGAAACAAATCAAAAAAGTTATTATGCTCATCCACCACTACCAAAATAAAGTAGAGAATTTAAAAAAAAAAAAAAAATGTTACAAGAAGTGCATTACTCATTGTATTCTCAAATATTGTCCTTCGAAAGAATTAAAATTTTACAATAATATTGATTTCTAATTTTCTTACTATCATCACTTAACTAGTAATTCAGACGATAGTCATCATTTTTTAACATTTGATATCAGTCCTGTGAAGTTTGGTTTAAGAAATGAAAGTTCACAAAAACTTTGCTAATAGAGACATTGTACAAAATAAAATTTGTCAAGAATTACTTTTCTGTTCCGAGTTATTCTTGAGATAATTCACATTACAAGAGAACAAATAATTTACATGATCTCCAACGTCTCTCACATCATGCTATAGAGATAATGGCATTTAATAAAGGTCTAAGATCATTTTAAATATAAGAAATAAAAACAATTTTAAAAAATCCGAAAGTAGAAAAAGTTCAATAAAACATGAAAAATACAAAAGTGAGAAAATTATAATTTTGATGAAATAATAAAAATGGTAGGAAAATATGCCAACCTGTTGTCTTCATTAGCTCTGTAGAATATCAAAAATGGATCAGATTTCCCAAAGAAATCTTTTTTGTCCAAATTGATTCCCTGGAACTGCAATGTCAAGTTTTCCTGTAAACAAGAAATGAATGTAATCAATGTTAGCATTTTTCTAATAACTCGAAAGATCATCAACCATAATTATGTACAATCAATTATGATGCCAATGATTGTCTAATTCTTTGTGGCCAATTTTTATTAAAAGAGTGGAACTTGAGACAACAAAGACAAAGATAATCTTAAAATTTAATCTGCATAGAAATAAAATAATGAAAAAAATATAATTTGTATAGATTTGAAAAGAACAAATTAAAAGGTAATATATCATATCAAGGATACTTAGATTTAATTAAAATAATGTTATCAATAAAATTTAGATTAGAAAAATGCTAAAAAGTAAAAACTTAAGTATAATAGCATACAATTTGTTTTCTGAAATACTTGAGACCTGATATATTTCAACTCCAGGAATTTTCACATTTTTGGAATATATTTTTGGTTACGAGTCTTTTATACAAGTAGATCTTAAGGTTTAAATCTTAATTAAGGACATTAGATATATTGACAGACCAGAATCTAGTGGGGAACATGGACATTTTTACCAACTTATAATTATCATCATCTTTGGCCAAACATACCATGTCAAGAAAAAATTACCGTATTTTTCAAATAAGAAATGTTCTAATAATAGTATTTTTATAGAAAAAATTATTGAAATATGAAGACTTGAAGGACACAAATTTTTGTTAATTTATATTGTAGATCTTTCTGCTGTTTTTTTCTCTAATAAATCAACTATTCTTTTTTATCCAAGCAATATTGGCTATTGGCATCAGAAAATCAAAATTCTATTAAAAGCTTTAAGAAATATTCATTATCAAAGTATGAAAGATTATATCTAGTGAAGTAAAAAAAAAAAAAAAAAAGAATCGCTATGAAAGTTAGAAAAGCTTAATCAGTTAATTCTTTTCTTTGTATTATCCAAACAGTTAACAATTAGACATAATAAAATGTGTCTTAGTTTTGTTTCAATTATTTGTCTCAATTCTGTTGGGTTATTTTAATGTAAAAGACTAATTGCCACAGTTTCCATGTGAAATTATTAGTAATAAACAAAAATAGCCAGAGAAGGAAGACTGGTAGCAGAGAGGTGCATCAGAGTAAATTAAAAAGAATGGCTAATTATAAGAGATTTACAGAATGTTTTAGAGTAGTAATACTTTGATTAGATAGAATTACTCATCACCTGGTTCACACTCCTTACCCATATTTTGAACAGGAGCAGTGGTTTATTATTTGTTTCCTGTTTACAATTGTCTTTCTGGTTCTTTCTCTTAAAGTTTTCTCATTTTCTTTAATTCCAAGTAACCTCTTGCATCTTAGTGGCATTATTGCCTTGCTTGGAGTGAAATGATTGAAAACAAAAAAATATAAAAGAATTACATGATCAGGTTAATGAATAGAACAAAGGACATCTTAATCCTATTGAGTAAAGTAACAATGAGCACAGATGTGATCATTGTTAATCCATTGTAAGAATTAGTGAAAATATATGAATTGATCAGTGACATCACACTGTTAGTTATGATAATGTGTTTTCACATCCTCACAAACTACAAAGGGATTTACCAAAAGAAAATAAAGGAATGTCACATAAGAGTGAGGAAAGTAAGATTTTAAGATACATTGTTTTAAATATCAAAAAGACAGTGCCTGAATATTGCTACCCATTAAAAAGACAATGTCAAATGATATTACATGATTTCTTTAGAATAAGACAATATAACATGAAGGCATTAATACCTAAAGAGAAAAAAATTATCTATCCAGTCAGCTGAATTGATTACAACCACGAAAACTACAATGATTAAGTATTTATAAAGCAATAGTAACATCCCAATACCAAGAGTAGAGAAACAATAAACTGAGGGCCTTGTCAAATCTCTTTTCTTTTTTTTTTTTATTTAAAACTATTCAAATGATCACTTCATAAAAATGAAAGAGAAAAGATGAAAAATGAAAAAAAATTCTTTAAACAACTGTGTCATAAAAATAAAAAGGGGAAGAAAACGTTAAAATATCAAATGAAGAGAAAAAAATTTACCTTGCATGCAAAAACTTCTTCAGCTCTTACTGTAACAAAAAAAAGAGAAGTAAAGAATCAATCAAGTAACAGTTCTAATGTAGAAAAATTTGTTAAACAATTCAATATACAATGCATTCCAACACTTTTTACATGCAACATTTTTTTTCAAATATATTCTTGTTGATTACAACAGTACTTGATTTGTTGGTTTCAGTCATTGTTGGGAATGATTGCAAAACACTTTCCCCTCACAAATTTATAGGCAGAAGCACATAAATGCATGCTGGGATTTCTTCCTAGCCAATAAAATAGACCAATTCTTGATTTCATCTGACTCAATCCTGGTCTGTCTTGTGTTGAGGTCAGAATGCTATGATTGCTTAATCAAATTTGCTCGTGTGTCAACACCAATTCTTAGCCTGAGAGCTTTTGGCCATATTATTGTTAATTTGCCTTGCATATATCATTTGCTTGCTTTCATACTATTTTTATCCTGTTCTTTTCTTGTTATTGTAAACTTTGTCAATTTTGTTTGTTGGGTAGTTCTGCCAACTGTTTTCATTTAACCATGGCCACTCACTGTACATGATTGATATAAAAAGAATAGATTAGGATCCTAGATATCTGGGGACTGATTTTATTGAGAAGGCAGTCTGAATTAGACAAAATATTTCAATGCACTTTAACAAACACCTCTAATACATTGGATTATAACAGTTTGATGGTTTTAATCTAACTGCAAATACCGAATAATATTATCAAACTCTTGAATGACTGAAGAATCAAGAGTTATCATTAAAGGTGCAACCTCAGAACAGGACAAAGATGGCTATCAACAACATGCACAAAACTGTAAAATGATGTTTTTCTTCACTTATCAAGGAAATTAAAATTTTAATGTTATCTTTAATGACCTTGATTTTTTTTTAAAGTGATGTTCACCCTGTACAAAGAATGAGAGCCACTCAAGGTAGGGAGTTACAAAGTAAGAAGCACAGCTTATGCAAATATGTGGGGAAGATAATGGTTAACCTAGATGATGAGGTTAATATTGTAGTAATCATGGAAGCAACCTCTTGGAAGTCAGGTCCACAACGAAGTCTGTGAGGAGAAGCTATTTGAGTGAAAGTTACATCTCACCAAGGGAATATGAAGGGAATGAGAGTGGTTTTCTACAATGTGCAGGGTATGATGTATCTTAGCCAGGAAGATTAGCACTGGTAGAACTAATGAGTGTAGTTCAGATGAATATACTACAACTTTCCAAGAAAACAGCAATAAAGTAGTGAAAGGCTTGAGACATCTCATCTGTGAGAAAGGAGTTGTAGAGTGGAAAATAATTTGTCACCCACAAGGACGCGAAGTGTAAAGTGAAGACTGGGCATCTCCTGACCATATATAGCAGCAGTACTTTTTGGCTGGATCTGGCTCTTGTAAAGACAGGATAGTAAGAGGAGTAAGGTACTTGCTAAAGTGGTACAGGGAACCGACCATTTTTTTCCAGCATCCTAAACAATGGATCATATGTACAAGTTCCACTTGAGCTAGATTAAGTTTAAGATTCAACAGATGCAAGGAGCCTCCTTGAGGGAACATCTGTTCATCATGATTGGTACAAGTTCTGGATCTGATCAATGATGGTGAAAGGTCACTAGTTTTTGAGGCATTGAATGTGACCAACTAATTTTTCACCCACTGAACTAAGTTAGAGGAGAGATCAGCTGCCAAGCTCTGATCATTAAGGGTTTTGGAGGTGCACCCAAATACCATCATATTATAAGCATAGATATTTACAAATGATGACAGTATACTCTTAGGCAGATCATTTATGTAAAGAGGGTTGGACTGAGAAGTGAACCTTGGGGGATGCCTGTGTTGATTGCTTGCAACTCTGAGAACTGGTCATTAACAACTACCTTCAGGGACCTACTCATTTGGAACAACTTTATAACTGATTCCATAGCTAGAGAGCTTGAGCAGTAAGCCTTTATGCTACACCTTGTCAAAAGCCTTTGAAATATCTAATGTAATTATTCCTAAAATGTATTTGTTGTTAAACGCCTCACTAATTCACTAATTGCAGTTAGGATATCAGTGGTGGATCGGGCAGATTGAAATCTGTACTGTTTGTTACCCAAGAGGTTGTTCCTATTGAGGTGATCCACTATTTTCTTGTTAATTATAGTTTCAAAGAGTTTGCTAATGACACTGATTAGAATGATGGGTCTATACTGTGAGGGGGATAAACACTCATTCTTGAATACCAGGCATATACTAGACACCTTCCACAGACTTGAGCAAGATTTCTCCATCAAGCAGTGGTTAAATAATTTTGCTAAGATCGAAGATAATAGCAGGTTAATATTCTTAAGGACAACCATTGGAATTTTGTCTGGACTGGTGGCCTTCTTAGAATGAAAACATTTGATAAATCTTGAGATTTCCTGGGCTGTAATGAAAATATTACTAAGATTGTGCTCAGTGAGATGGGGAAAGTTGAGAAGGGGGTGGCCTTTGTCATCTAACGTTGAATTCAAGGCAAAGATCAAAGTGAAGAGCTTCACCTTATCTAATGAGGATGAGATGACCTTAGGTCCATTTATAATAGTAGGCACAGATGCTTTGCCTCTATTCAAAATTTAGTTAGAGATCTTCCAGAACTTTTGAAATCCAATATATTTGCTTTCAACTTGCTTGGATTGCTTAAGCATAGCTACACTTTGCATTTTCTACAATTCTCTTGCAGCAATTGCAGGCAGTTCTGAATGCAAGAAGTGTCTGACTACACTGTTCCCATGATAGGCATTGTAGTGGAGGTTACGATGAGCTATGGCTGCAGCACATTTGGGGGTGAACCAGAGCGGCTTGTTCAGTTGCTGTTGAAATTTTTCCTCAGGTATAAAACTCTCCATTTCAGTAAGGATCAATTCTGATATGAAGGGAGTGTGTGAAGAAGAAGGCTGAAATAAAAGTTTCCGCCATGTATGATCTAAAGCTGTCCCAGTCTGCATTTGTGTACTGAAAAATTGTCCTATGGAACAGTCTATCAGTAAGGCAATAATGTAGTTTTAATTGCATTTCTAAAGACAATTTATGCTTTTAAGAAAAATTTTTTTTCTCAAGGGTTACAGGTAAAGAATCATTCTTGATTACAATGATTTCAGTAACTAAGGTGGACATTGCTATATGATATACCATGCTCTTAAGATACAGACTACAAGTTTTGTTAAAAAAATATTTCATTGTTGCAAAAACATGCAATGTAATTTGGTAGCTAAAGAATGAAACAGCTAAAAATGTCATAAAAATGCAATAAAATATAGAAACTAATGAAAATAAAAAATATGAGAAATAAAAGGGTTTTTTGTTGTTATCATCTTACAAATTCATAGAATAAAGTTTTTTTTTTTTTTGTTTTTTTTTGCTATCTTGCATAGAGTAACTTTTGTGTATATTGTCATTGGAATACAAAAGATATCCTGTCATGGGAAACAACAAAAAACATAAAAAGCAATCAAGTACATAAAAAGAAAAAAAGAGGCAGGAAAAAATGATGCTACAGCTTACTGTCTTAATTTCTGGATGAAGAGGCTTACGGCCACATCACATTAAATTACCGATTCCTGTATGGTCACCAAAATTAAGCAACATCGAGACTGGCCAGTACCTAGATGGGTGACTTTATGGGAATATCAGGGGATGTAAGCTTGGTTATGTAGTTGGTGTAATGGATAATGGCTTGGAATTGTTAATCAGAGATCAGAGTTCCAATTCCAGTTGGGTTTGTTACATTCACTTATAGGCAAATACCCTTGGGAAAGATATGAATCCATCTCTTCTCCTCCCAGGTATGGGTTAATTAGTAAGACTTGTATCTCTAAATCATTATCTCAAAAAAAAAAAAAAAAAAAAAAAAAAGTGTATATATATATATATTTTAATATTTTTTGGCTTTATATAACTCACAAAAGGTTGATATGCCATAGAAAATCAATCAATCAATCTGGATGAAGGACTATCATTATTTACAGTCAGACTAATGTCCTTATCTTTGTTGTTATTATCACAAAGTTTCATACGCTGTAACCTCCAGCCTTCAGGTGTGTGCTGATCTAGGTAATATTCAAGGAATTTCAAACTGAACTTTTTATTTAATCTACAGGTGTAGATTGAATTTCATTCTACCATATATGTCAAGGTATATCTCGTCTTGTTTGATTTTATTACTGCTCAGTCGTTAACCATTATCTTCCCTGCATAACCCCATGAACTTCACTTCTTGCCTTTTCTTACACGCATACAGCACCACACAGTAACCCTCTACCTTGAATTGCTCTTGGGCCTTGTATAGAATGAACATTAGCATAAAAAAGGGGCCCATTTCCATTTAGTCTGAGTCTGTACTACCCACCTCAGAGATTGAACTCAATTACTATGCCATTAAATTCACAAACCAATGCTTTAATCCTCTATTGCCATGGGACATCTTTACATCTCTTCTTCATATGTGAAGAAACTGTCCAGTATTTACTGTCATGTAACATATTAGATATTACCGATTAGTCCACCACTTTTTTTATTATTTCTAAAGAAATTTTCCTATCTCTTAATAGTTTGATTTCTATGTGCCTTTCGGTGTCATATTTTCTATCATCTGTTACCACACAAACCAGATACTTCAATTTCTATACAAGTTTGATTTAGACATCCTTAATATGCAGCTCTGACCTTGGGCTATCTCTTTTGCTAGCAATAATGATTTCCGTCTTCTTACAGTTGTTGTTCTATGTGTTGTGTCCCTTCAGGACATGGGAGATCATGTCTCTCCAAAACTTCCTATCACCTGTGGTCCTTAGCAGTTTTTCTCCCTTTGCTCCACACAAGCTCATCAGGTAGGTGGCTCACTGCTTTCTATCTCTTTTGCCCTTAATATACCCTGTGAGTGAAGTTTTCCAAGCCCTTCTTCATTCTGTGTCTAAGGAATTTCAGTTGTCTTTTCCTGATTCTGAGCATGTGGTCTTTTTGTTACCATTTTCTTTATGACTTCCTTGTTGCAAAATGGTATATCTGTTTGGAGTACTTGGTCTTCTTACAGTCACAATCAGTGAGACTACTGCCAAACCCCACACATAAAGCATGATAACTCATTGGCCTCTGCTGTTCTCTTGCTCATGCTCATTTTAGCTGAGACTCGGAAATTTACGTAAACTATAAATTCATCTTGCAAATTCTCCGAACTACAAGATCAGATTTTTTTTAAATTGTAGCTTTTGGATTGTCCATGTTTCCTTCCAAGTATCTTGCACACAAGACACATACAAGCATGTTTTGTTCCAGGAGGTAAGCTGTTTTCCCCTTCTACAGTTTACTTGCTCCATCAATGAAGTTCTCAGTATCTTTCTGTATAACCACATTTCTGTTGCCTCCAGTTTTCTCCTCATCCATGGGAGTCCTTTCTTCTTGCTTCCCTTTACTACCTTGTCTAAGAGTTCTTTCAGTTTCCTTCTAAGTCTGCTGTCATCCATGTTTTTTAAGATTGTCTGCTAATAATAAAAAGTCAGGATATGCCTTTTAGTTCTCTTACGAT